ATATTTTCTCTAAGTTTGGGTCAATTATTTTACACCGAATATATAGCCAGCTCTCAAATATGTAATAAATCTAATTATCCTTAAAAACACATTATAGAACCATAGTAATAAAAACAGTATGATACCAGCACATAAACAGACAAGGAAACAAAAGAATAAAACAGAGACCCACACATGAGTACTCACAACTACAGCTATCTGATATTTGGCAAAAAGCGAAAAACATACATGAGAAAAGACAGCGTCTTTAACAAATGGTGCTGGGAAAAACTGATGTCCATAGGCAGAAGAATAAAATTAGAGCTGCTATGGGATAATGCTCTTGTACCCTGTAAAGATTTGTCAGTTGTATTGGTTTAATAAGACACTGATTGGCCAGGCAAGTATAGGTGGGGCAACCAGATTAAGAGAATTTTGGGAAGAGAAAAGGCTCAGTCTGCAGTTACCACTCAGACACAGAGGAAGCAAGATGAAAATGCTGCACTGAGAAAAGGTACCAAAAGCCATGTGGTTAAACACAGACAAGAATTATGTGTTAATCTAAGTTGTAAGAGCTAGTTACTTATAAGCTTGAGCTAATAGGCCAACCAATTTATTTTTATTGTAGGTTTCTGTGTGTTTCTTTGGGACTGAATGGCTGTGGGATTGGGTGGGACAGAAACCTGAAACACTAAAACTGCTAAAGCAAGCATAGGTGATAGCCAACAAGATACAGGTATAGAAAGGACTTTCTGAATAGGATTCCACTTGCCCAAGAATTAAGGCCAACAATTGACAACTGGTACTTCATAAAAAGCTTCTGCACAGTCAAGAAAACAATCAAGCAAGAGAAGAAATCCACAGACTGGGAGAGAATCCTTGCCAGTATACATCTGACAGAGGATTAAATACAGAATATACAAAAAACTGAAGAAAAAAAAAAGAGTCAAAGGAACAAATGACCCAATGGAAAATGGACTAATGAATGGACTAGGAATCTAAACAGAGTTTCCACTAGAAGAAATAATAATGGCTTAGAGATACCTCAAGAGGTATTTGTTATCCTTGGCAATAATGGAAATGCAAATTAAAATTACTTTGAGATTCCATCTTCCCCAGTCAGATGGCTAAGATCAACAAAACAACTGCCAAAAATGGTGGTGACGTAAAGAGAAGACCTATCATTCACTGTTGGCAGGAATGCAAACTGGTGTAGTAATTCTGGTAACTAGTGTGGAGAATCCTCAAAAAGGAAAAATAAATCTACCATATGGTCTGCTATACCACTCCCTGGCACATAGCCAAATGACCTGACATCCCATTCCACACACACTTGCTCAGGTACGTTCACAGTCGTCCTATTCCCAAAAGTCAGAAAATGGAAACAACCTAAAACAACCTTCAACAAATCATGGATAATGAAAACATGGTACATATATACAATGAAATAATGTTCACCTGTAAGAAAAATGAAATCATGAATTTTCAAGTAAATGGAAAGACTTAGAAAAGACTATACTGAGTGAGGTAACTCAGACCCAGAAAGACAAACACATGTTCCCTCTCATTTATGGTTTCTAACTCCAAATGCTCAGAAGGGACTATACAACATGGAGTAACCACAGAAACTAAAAGTATAAAGGAATCATTGTGTGCGTGTGTTGGGGGGCAGTGGGTAGCAGAGTACAGAGATATAAACTAGGTAAAGGAGTAACAGGGAAGGGGGTAGTCAACACAGAGGGGGGAGGAAAGGGGGACAAATAACACCAAGATTGTTTGAGAAAGCCATGCTACATAAGTATATATGTATACATACATACATATTCATATACACTACATAAGTATATATGTATACATACATGCATATTCATATACACTACATAAGTATATATGTATACATACATACATATTCATATACACTACATAAGTAGATATGTATACATACATACATATTCATATACACTACATAAGTATATATGTATACATACATACATATTCATATACACTAAAGGAAGTTAAGCCACTTGGGCTGATAATGCTCTCCTCAAGAACTACACACTGTATAAGGAACTCTCCTTTTGAAAGGTTGGTCAGGACAGTCCAAGTGACTCCCCAAACAATACTTGTTTCTCTCGCAGGAGGTAAAGGTGGGCTGAAGACACCTCACACTTAGGACACAGAACTGGATGACTAGAGCAGGATCTGACCTGAAAGTCTGTGGTCTTGCTTCCCTGATTCTAGAATATACTATGCAAGATGGTGGGGTGGGGATGGGGGCACAACATACAATAGCTGGAATACCTATGAACCATGACAATTACCACAAGGCAAGATACACACACAGGTGTAATAAGTGGCACTCACGTCAGTGGCGATCAACAGCTGTATAATAGGACTTACGGCCCACTTAACAGGAGGGAAATCATGACCGCTACAGGAAATCCAGCCAACTTCCTGGGGCTAGGAAGGTCATGGACCTTAGAAAATAATCTACTATCATACTTCCTTAGACCAGCATAATTCCTTACTCCACTCTAAATCTTATCCTAACACCCACAGATAAGTACAGTTACTACCCCAAATTCAAGGAGCTTCTCTCTTTAGCAGATAGAAACCATCAGAGAACCGCAATTGGACACAGTGCAGAGATCGATGGACAGTGGGGAGCCCAGCCCTGATAGACACCTCTACACCACTGTTTGTGCATCTACAGGGAACCTAACAGGAGAGCGAGTGGAAAAACTGTAAGAGCCAGAATATCAGGAAGTCGGCTGTGAAACTTCTCTCCAGGAAATGGCTGCATAAACAAGACTAGAACGATGGTAGTATTAGTGGACGTGTCAACTTTTGTGAGGAAATTTTTGTGGGGTCCCACCCCTAGACAAAGAACTATAGGCAACTAATGACTAATGAAAGAGGGATAATTAGCCTCTCCCAAGAATAAGCCCCATTACTGGTTGTCTAATTAAGAATGGTCAGAAACCGTATATACACAAAAACCGAGAATGGGTTCAGCAAATTATGTATGTATGTATGTATACACACACTATATAAAATCAAAGAAAACATATACACTATATATAGTCAAGGAAGAATAAGCTATTAATTTGATAAAGGGGACAAGTGAGAGTAGTTCAATGGAGGGTAGCTAGGAAGGGCTTGAGGGAGGGAAAGGAGGGGGAAATGATGTAATTCATTTCAATTAGAAACATTTTGAAAAGAAAAATAAATATGAACATAAAAAAGAATAGACTTCTTGTTTATATACTCAGGGTTCACTAGACCTTTGGATTGAGGTACATAAAAGAAGAGAAATTTAAAATAATTTTAAATTTTAAACTCTAATTTTATTTCTATTAAATGGTTATAGCACAAGAAAATGAAATTCATGAGTTATTCAATAATTAAAGAATTAAAATATGGCTTTCACATATGTCTCTCTTTTATTAACAAGGATAATGATGATTATCACTGAACTGATATTTACTCCTTACCCAGAGCTTATTTCTTTAGGCCTTTTCCATAGTCTGCCCATAAATACAGTATAATTGGCACAGTATTATTAATTCTTTGGAAATAAGCTAGCCAAGCAAAGGAAGCTGAAGGAAAAAAACAGAAAATTATTTAAATCTAGCATCATTTTTTGTCTAGCCATCTACCTCAGTTTAAAGTTTCATTACATTGCTAAAACTTTCATCTCATAGCTTATGATGCTTACGAGGAGAATGGGGAACCACTAGGGATCCTGGAGAGATGGTTTGGCAGAGTGTTTGTATGCAATCATGAGGACTGGAGTTCTGATCCGAGTACTCAAGTAACAAGCAGAGCGCCTGTATCTACCTGTAACCGTAGCACCAACAGAGGTGGAGGTAGGATTGCTGGGTCTTTCTGGCTTCCAGCCTAGCAGAAAATGCAAGCCTTAGACTGAGGAAAAGACTCCCACCTCTGGGGCTGGGGAGATGGTTCAGTTAAGATCATTTGTTGCTCCTTCAGAGGACCCAACTTTGTTTCTTAGGGTCTACAGAGTGGTTCAAAACTCCAGTTCAGGGGAATCTGATGATTTCTTCTGACTTCTATGGGTATCAGGTATGCATGTGGTGTATACAAAGGAATACAGGCAAAACCATTCACACACACAAAACACACAAATAAACCTTAACAGTGGCAGAGAGTAATATTGGAGGATACTTGGCATTCTCTTTTAGCTCTTGTGAGTGTGTAACAGGCACAGGCACCCATACACAAAGAACACACTAACATGCAAACACACAAACAAAACAAATCCTTTAAAAAAACCAGGAAATATGAAGCTTAAGCTTTATTTTAAATATAAGTAAGTCTACTGAGGAGGGTATGTCACGTTTGCAAACACAGAACTTTGTTTAGAGTTCTAGTGGTAAGGGGCTGGAGAGAAATGGCTCATTAGTAAATAGTATGCACTACTCTTGCAGAGGACCAGAGTTTGGTTCCTCGCACCTACTTCATACAGCTCACAAGCAACTGTAACTCCAGATCAAGAAGATTTAATGCATCTGGTCTCCATGGGCATCTGCATACACGTGCATATATCCACATATAGATACCCACATAAATGTAATTAAAAATAACAAAATAGGGGCTAGAGACAGCTCAGTGGCTGAGAGCATTACTGCTTTTACAGTGAACCTGGGTTCAGTTCCCATCACTCACATGGTGGCTCACACTGTCTGCAGTTACTTACAGGAGATCTGATACAGTGTGCAGATGGTGCGTGCGTGCACATACACACACACACACATATATACACAAAACTAATTAAAACATTTTTCTTAAAAAAATTCAGTGGCAGGTCATTGAAACAAGGAAGATATATTGCATATCAGCATTTAAATGTTGGTTTCTGCAGAAGCAATGTTAGGGAAAATATTACCTACTTTCTTCCCATGTCCTACCCACTCAAACTGTGGGAGCATACAGACTAAATACATGGTAAGTCTGTGAAGCCTCACTCTCTTAAGAGCGAGTCTGACAGCACTTCCTACCTTTGACTGCTTATCTCTCAGTGTTCCTAGTTTCACTTTATCATGTGGTTCATCAAGAGTCAAATTATTCTTCCTTTTTTCACTGTCTTCAAGCAAAGGTACATAGCCATAACTGTTATCTGTAAGACAAAACACTTGTACATCAGTACAAAACCCTGGAAAAATAATTATAATATAACTGAAGCCAGGCATGGTGGCACATGCCTTTAATTCCAGTACTAGGAAGGCAGAAGCAGGCAGATCACTGAGAAGAGGCTACCCTGGTCTACAGAGCGAGTTCCAGGACAGTCAGGGCTACACAGAGAACCTTGTCTCAAAAAACCCACAACCAAACAATAACAATGAAATGTCAACAAACAAGCCAAACAAAAACATCTCAGTAATTTCAAAAGAATAAATTATAAGTCCTAGTTTTACAATATTCAATATTTATGTAATATTTACCTTGGCAAGTTGTTCATTTAGTTTTTCCTTCCCACTAAACACTTATTTTCCCATGAGCCAAGGGTAAAATATACAGAATTCAGAAGACTAGAATTAATTATGCTTTTTCACATTTTACTTATCAACAGCTAAACTTTTAGGTTTCCTTTTTGGAGGGGGGTGATGGGGCTGGGGATGCACTAAGTGCTCCACCCAAGCTACATTCCCAGGCCAGTTAAACTTTTATACATCACTTTTTAGGTGTGCATTTCTTGTTTAAGATAATTATACCTGAAAAAAACCTCTGCTTATAGAAAATTTGAAAATGTAGTTATGGCGAAAAGAGGCTGGAGAGTTAAGAGCACTGCTGCCCTTCCGGAGGATCCCATGGTGACTCATGATCACCTACTCACTCCAGTTCCAGGAGGTCTAACACCTCCTTCTGGTTTGAGTAGGTACTAGGCACACATGTGGTACAGACTCATGAATAAACATTTTAAAAATTTATTTAAAAAATAAAAAAGCTATCTAATTTTTATCACTTATGAACTTTTCTAATTAACATTATGGTTTATCTTTTGCATTTCTACATATAAACGCAATGTTTTTCTGTACACATGAAATAAATCATATTTACTTTTATATCTTACTTTGCTGCAGACCATGAACATATTTCCTGATGGTAAATTAACAATTATTATCACTGCTTTTCTTGGCTACCCAGTTGTTTCACTGTAACTTACGTTTTTGGATTATTTACTGGTTTACTCAAATGACATTTAAAGGGAGAGAAGCATAGGACAGGAATGGGAAGGGCACAGTACACGTTCAGCTCTCTGGGAGCTCAGAGGCCTCTTCTGACTTTCCATCTCTAGAACTGCACTGTGATATACAATGTGTGTCCATCTTCCAGCACCTGCACACCCTGTCTATCCTCTTAGGGCGGCTACTTTCATCTCAAAGGCACCAACTTCCTAAAAAGCTTTCTGTTATTCACTGGCAAAGTGCCTTCTAGGAACTTTTATCAATCCAAGGTTTCAGTCTACAGATTTGTGAGTGTCCACTTCTCCATGTCCTACAAATTTCAATTAAATAATCATAATGTATAGTTGTACTATGCTTTCTGCATCAGAACTAATAAAGTACAAAAAATAGAAAAACTCAAAATTTACCTTTTCTCTAAATTCAGAAATACATTTAAAAACGGAAGAAAAGAAGAAAGGAAAATACCTCGACTGGAATCCACCAGAAGTAGCTGTGATTTTAACTTGTCAATAAGAGTTTGTTGAAATGACAGCTGTTCTTGTTGCTCGCGTATTCTTTGTTCATAGTTCTCAGTCTGAAGGAAAACAAAGCCCAACCCAGTTAGCCTGATACTCACCGACAGATGCATTTACTGTCTATTAATAAGCGCTGGAGCTGCCTGAAGCCCAGGTCACTGAAAAACCTATTCACAGGTCACTGACTGGCTCCAGGGACTGACTTGTGATCCCCATATCAGCGACTTAAAACAATTAGAACACTATAAAACTTTTAAAAATTGCCTTATTTAAAGATTTCAGTCAAGAGATTGACAGTATGCTTTCTTGGTCTTTTAGTAAAGACAAATGTACTGTAATTTGAAATTTAATACTTGTTAAGTAAGAAAAAAAACATGAATGGTTAAGTGGATTTTGCATTAAAGTTGTGCTTTAAAAATACACATCAGTCTTAAGACAAACTTTTATATCTTCTAAATAAATACTAAAATTAATTTTAGAGTAAAAACCCACAAAAGAAGTAGCTAGAAGTAAATATTAAGAAAACCAAAGGAACAAATATGGATTCTGAAAATATAGTGTCCAGAAACAAGAACACCAAGTTAATTTTTATTACATAAAAATATTACTTATAGATTTTAAGTGGCATAATCCCCTTATATTTTTATTCCACCCATCTTGCTACTTTACTATATTGGCTGTGAAAACAACAATGAAAATGACATATGTATTAGGAATATAGACATATAAATGTGTTAACCTTCAAGAAAAACCTGAAAATGTTGTATAACAATTAACTAGTACATTCTTAAAAGTTATATTAAGAAAGCATACTATGAAAGTCTTTGCATCTTTCTACCACTGGAGGAACAAATGACTAAATATAAATTCCTTAAAATATAAAAAGAATTCTAATAATTATAGCAACTTTTGGTATATACTAGATGTCTGATTTCAATTGACTAAATCAAAAGTTCACAATTAATGAAGTTGTATTATTTTCAGAACCCGAGTAAGCCTAAAGTTCTTTATAAATAAAGATCTGTTCCTTAAGTCTCAAATACAAATGTAAGAAATCATAAATAAAAAACAAAAACAAAACAAAACAAATTTAAGAAATCAAAGAAAAATAACACACCCAAGTAAAAGAAGGACTTTTATAGACAAGACACTTCAAACATGAATAACTTACAGAGCAGGTAAGTAACCCCACTGGGATGTTAACTTTGTATGTTGCGTGGGGCCAATCTTACATAACTTGACATCCCCCACAGGACTCCATAAATGATGTTAAATATATGCTGATTATCATTAAGTAGAAGAAAGAATCAATGATGAGTCTCAGCATCAGAGAATTCAAGTCCTAGATATTTAGGTCTAATGCAAAGCCACGCTCCCAGAATAAGACATACACTGGCACCCAAGATGCTGGAATGAGTGTGGTAAGCCGACTACAAAAAGGGTGCAAACATTAGTTAGCTCTAAATACCTTAAAATTATCTGGGCTACCTACAGTTCATGAGGTGAAAGAATCAGCAATATGTTAAGGTCTTCCTTATGCACTTCATGCATTTAGGACATTTTTATTTCAAAGAACTCAAAATTCTTCATAAACATCAATAAGTAATTCCAATAATTACCTATTTTTCACTGTATCTGGATGGGCATATATATCCTACTGCTATTCAGTGAGCAAGTAACCAGATTTAAAAAAGCAGAAAATTAGAGATAGGTTGAGAATAAATGTTTAAATCATTCAAGTCTCAGCCCATTCTTCATCTATTATGCTCCCTCCCCAGTTTTAGTGAAGAAACCAAAAGACCATGTATGTTCATTTGGAACCAACTCAGAACACTTCTGCCAATTAATTTCCATCTTCTCTCTCTAGCTTAAAAACACACTTCAGCACATCTGCTTATAACATATTATAATAAATAATGTATTCAATAGCTGGAAAAGTTAATATATCAATGGCTATCTCACATAAAAGTCTTGAACTATTTCTTAAATCAGATGATAATGTATTTTAAAGTCACATATGCTGACAGTAGCTGGACAAATAGTAGAGCATGTTTGGTCATTTCATGTAGTTGTTTATGTTAAAGTATTCTGGTCTTATCTTCATGTCTGATGAGCAGAGACTATTTCTATAATCACTAGTATCACACAGTGTCTGGCATATATTGAGGTGCTGGGTATATATTAATTGAGTAACAAGTTAATTAAATTGTTAATGAAATATCTGAGAAATAGATACGTCTTCAAAAATGTCCTTGAAGGAATGGAGGGATGATGACCTTGCTTTGATGCTTGAAAACTAAGTAAAACAAGTTTACTTAATTTTTTTTAAAAAAAATCAAATGATTGTGAATAAACAAATAGCATGAAATCTTTTTAAAAGATAAGAAAAATCAATGCAAATCACAGTATTTTAAAACATACAATTACAAAGCAAGTGCATTCCAGTACTATCAAAGACCCTGCAAACAGAAAACTCACTAACAACCACATTGAAAATGTACAACAGTAATGTCTTGTCAACACTTCTGTACAGAGCACAGACATGACAGCTAAAACAGACAGAAGAGAAGATGCTTTTGACAGCCAGTGTGTGTGAATGATTCTTTGAGTCAGATGGCAGCAACAAGTTATCAACTAGGAGATCTGCATGACAACTAACCATCCATCTGTATCAAACACCATCTGGCCGAGATGACTCTGGCTTCTGTGTACTTGACACTCCTTCTAATTCCAAAGACTAGCAAAACAAGTGGTCTACCAGAATCTAAGAAATAAACAGGTATATAGGTACTTGGGTCACAAAGGGTTGTGTATTCTTTCTTGGCTTTCAACAGCAAAACATGATGGAGATCAAATGTATAATACTATATATTGTCAATTTATAAAAAAGGGTTATTCAAGCACACTCTGAGTATCATTAATAAAGCAAAACCTTCATTTTAAAAAATATTCTGACGCTGGAGAGCTAGCTCAGCAGTTCAGAGCAAAGGCTGCTCCTGCATAGGACTTGGGTTTGGTTCCCAGCACTCACATGAAAGTTCACAACCTTCTGTATCGCTAGTTTTGAGGGATCCAATGCCCTCTTCTGGTCTCCGTAGGCACCATGCATGTGTGTCATGCAGCAAAGCATTAATATACATGAAAAAAATTCTAATAAAAAAGACTTTCTTTTATTAAGGAAAAATTTCAGCCTGTCCTCTTCAAAAGTATGCCACCATATTTCCAATAATTTTGGACATACAGCTGTTCAAGTTTTCGTAAGTTTCATAAATATTAAGATAGAATTCTGTTAATTGAATTTTTTTCCTACTGCCGACATTGGATGCTCTAATTTTTAATTTTTCCCAAGATGTTTACTTCTTATACTGGGAGAGAGCTTCAAATGTCTGTAAGCCATCTAGAATACCCTACATTGTTCAAATATTATTTCAATCATCTTCAAGCATTAATCCCAATATTCTGAAAAAAATTATGGCTTTCTTCCAATGATTTTTACTAGGGGATTCAATAAATGTTGAGTGTATAAAACATAGTCTCAATTTAAAAATATTTTAAATTGCTCCAAGATTAAGGGATATGAAAGTTGTACTGAAGGTTCTGTTTACACAAAAAAATGCTCAACAGGAAGTGCCACAGTTCATGAAGGAAAATAAATATTACTTACACCAATATAGAGCAGTTTAGACAAAAGTTAATTAATACACAATCTATTTTTAAAATCTGTCATACAATGTTAGCAAACTGAGCATATATTTTACTTTTTTTTTAGTAAATAAGATCATATATTTTGGCTTGCACATAGCTCTTTCTTCAACCATTCTTTGCATACTACCGTAATAAACTCCCCACCCGACCACCCACTGGATACGAGGACTTATCTAGGATATATTCAGTTAGACGATCATATTATCAGTCTGGTTATCTACTGCTAGTACTGTCGTCCATTTCTCAGGATACTAAGTGGTGAACTATGAAGAACTACTTTTAAAGTTTTGGTTCCAGAGTGGAGAGTGCTCCTGCCAGCAGCAAGACAAACATTCCGTTGGACTGAAAGCTCAGACCCCCCTGGCCACTTTGTGCTTCTGATACCCTTAAGCCAACAGGCTAAGAAAGGACTAAGTGTTAGGCAGGTGATTGAACCAGATTATCAAAGGGAAATTGGATTGCATCTCCACAACGGAGGTAAGAAAGATTACGTCTAGAGTGAAGGAGATCCTTTAGGGTGTCTCTTGGTGCTACTATATCCTGTGACTAAAATCCATGGGAAATGACAACAGCCCCTTTGGGAATGAAGGAATGGGTCATTACTCCAGGAAAAGAGCCAAGACCTGCTGGAGTTCTTGCCAAGGGTGGATGAATTACAGAATGGGTAGTATATGAATATAGTTATAAATACCAGCTACGGCCATGCAACCAACTGTAGAAATGAGGATTATAATTGAAATGAGTGGTTCTGTCATATTTTATAAAGATGCATTTGTAAAGATATTTATATTTTCTTTATTCAGTTTTTTAGTTGTTACATAACATCAAATAAGAAAATATCAATAATTATTATATTTATGTTTTAGATACTAAAGGAATGTCCTTTAAGGGATATTGCCACACATTCTAAACTTATAATGTATTTGTGGTTATATGAAGGGCAGTTGTATCATGTTAGGTTTAATTATGACCCGGTTATTATTTTCATTTGGAAATTAATGACGACATAAGGAGATATGATTATGTGTCAGGTTGACAAGTAGACTTGTGATGGCTATTCTGGGTTATCAGCTTGACCACATCTGTAACTAAACACAGAAATTGAAGGGCACATCTGTGAGGAATTTTTGCTTAATTAAAAATGGGAAGATCCACTTCTAATCTGGATCTTTGAGGTAGGAACACCTTTCATTCAGTGCTGTGGAACAATGGTCTTTTATTCTGTCACTTGTATTATTTTTAATAAAATGCTGATTGGCCAGTAACCAGGCAGGAAGTATAGGTGGGGCGATGGCGACCAGGTAGGAAGTAGAGGCGTGGAAACTAGAATTATAGGAAGAGGAAAGTTTCAGTC